GTGCGTGCTATGTCGGGGACCGTCCAACGCGAACCAAGATTTTTCATGTCCGACCTAAGAGGAGTCGAGCAAGTGCTGCGTTGCGATAAGACCGAAGATATCGTAATCCCGATGTTGTCAGGAGAGCGCAAAAGTAACAAATAATTAGTTGATTTCGTGGAATGACATTATGCCGCTGTATTTTCGACATTTTCCATAGTATAAAGTTGCAAAAGTTCAATGGCGGCAGATACAATTTTAAGCATAAGATCATATATCCAACCTGACGTAAATCTTAATTATAGAACATGATTAGCGTTCTCTGAATATTGCGAGGCCTTGTGAAAGTCATTAGTGAGTAATGTCACCGAATAAACGAGCTACTCCTGCAAATGGGATACCACTCCTTCGAAAAATGCATACTCACGTGTAAATGAAGCGACGGGTGCGATCAATCCGTTATCCGAAATAACATAGTCTAGTCTTCGAGTCGGTCGATTTTTATCTGCAACAAAAACAGAGAAACCAGATAAGTGCGCCGAATCTTCTTCCTCTAATTAATAAAAAAAAATCTGGAATTCATACAGCCGCGAAATCTGCATAAATATTTTCACACATAATATAAAATATTTTTATAAAATTATGTTTGATAGAAAATATTCTTATATTCTTATGGATACGAGTACACTATTACAATTTAAAAATCTATTGCACACATATTTTTTACAAAATGGAAGTTATAAAAAAATTATAGATTTTTTATTATAGATTTGAAAATAAAACAAAAAGTTTGGCCAATTAGGACCTAGATGAAAAATTATTTCAATCAGTAGACATATTTTTTTAATATATTTGAGATAAAATGAAAAATTTTCATTTAAATTATAAAACTGTATTGTTAAATATATATAAATATCGACCTCATTGAACTGTTTCATATGTATATAATATTCACTTTTATAAAAGTATAAATTTAAAATTCCTGTAATTTTTTGCAGAGACTATACACCTGATACATCCTTAACAGAATTATTTGTAATACTAATCTCTCACTTGTAATACTAATGACAACATTTGATATTCACGTTTACGTGAACAAGATCCTTCCTTTGCGCTAAGATCGTATTTCTGCCGCAGAGAGACTTAACCTCCCCCAGTAGGGAGACACTTGGATCAATCTCTTGAGGTAAGTTTTTGCGATTAGGACGCGAATCGCCAAAGATAAGATACGTGCAGTGATAAACGATCGCGTTTGCGGACGTCCGCACGCTCGCGGATGCGGGGAGGGAATTTCGCGCAGATCGTGCCGGTACCCCTACACACAGGCAGAGTCGCGGAAAGGTGTCGGTGGTCTTTGACCGAGTTTCGCGCGGTCGATCATATTCCGCCGAAACTCGGTCACATGCGCTTATGCATCGGCGGCGCGGCGCGGCGCGGCGCGGTACCGAGCGCCTGGCCTGGCGATACGCAACGTAAGGAAAAGTAAGAGTGAAGGGCTGTTGTTCGCTAGTGAAACACGCACATACAGAGGTTCGGCCGGTACTATGTCGAACGTCGGAGTTCGACACGCGGAAGTTCTCTCCAATATTTATGGATATGGCCGTTTTATTCTTCCTGTTGACTCTCGGCTTTCAACATTTTTATTTATTAGAAAGAAAATTATTATTCTGAAAAAAGAGAGAGAGAGGAAAATAAAAAGTATAATTACCCAGATGCTCAATCCTAAAGTTAATTATTTTTACACTCCTTTATCTCATAAAGATGTAATTAATGTAAAATTAATACACTAGTAGGAAAAAATATGATTACAAAATTAAACTTTTTCTATTAGGTTTTATGATCAGCTTACTTATCAATTTGCGTATAAACCACATATTTACTTAAAAGTTAATTTATGTTAATTAAAAGGCATTAATTAATTTCGAAGAACTAAAATGACGTAACTTGTATAAAAAAGAATGAATATTAAGTATATTTTAATAAGAACATTTGAAACTTTCTTGTAGATATAGCATTAAAAAAATTGAATTATTTGATATTTTTGTGACAAAGAGGTTTATAATCGAATTGATCCAATAGCTTTGGAGGATTAAAATCGGAATCCAAATTTTTAGTAACCTGTTTCTACATTATACAAATTTCAAATTTTATTATACAAATTTCAAGATTGCTAAGAGAATATGATATGTTATGAATATTTATGATGTAAACATTATCTTGTAATAATTGTTTGTAACAAATTTTTTAACGAGTCTTTATTAAAGAAGAAATTATGGTTATTCATAAAGCGAGTTGAATTCGTTCTTTCACGAAGCTTACAATACTAATCCCCATTATTATGTGTATTTCCTATTTACTATGTAGAACGTTTTTGTTACACGGTTCGACCTACTTAAGTGCACATATCAATAACCCTTACATTTTAAATGCCAATATAGACGGTAATACAGATATATATGCCGATGAATATTGCACAACTAACCATCGAAATAAATTAAATGGATTAAATAGATGTATGTATCTCGATTCTTATTCGTACATTACAATTTTCAAGTAAAATGAATACATACTATTAAATTGCTTCTGTAAATTTTGTTTGAAGGATTTAATAGCAAAGTTTCGCAACTCGGTACGATTTTAACTTGCTTATTAATCCAATTATCGTACTAATTGCGAAAGTGAATATAAATCAAAAGATATTTTCTATTTATCTCATTAAATTAACGTCACATTGGACTATCTTGGCTAATGATATCGTGTTACCAGATAAAATAAATCACAGAAATGGAACAAGCCATTTCCCTGTTTCTACCTGTACAATAAAAAAAATGACAGAGTCGTCGGTCGTCGCGTAGCACGTCTTTCGCGTTCCGGTATTCTCGCGTACTAATTAAACATTTATATACGTACGCAGGAGTAAGAGCAATTACGTTACTTTTAATATGAGTATATCGTGCTTTATATTGTTCAGTTTTATCCTGTGGTTTTTCCGTTTACAAAGGAAATCGATGGTTTATAACTTAGCGAGATGGCCAACGCGCAAATCGCGTGTCTCCAATCATTTAATGCATATTTTTTTAACCACGTTTAGCTCATAATGTGAAATTTGCGCAGTCGCGTTCGAGATATATAATTTTATTCGCTCATTACGAAATTCCACGAAATGTTTGAAAGCATAAAAGCGCGCAGTCATTTTTATTTGCTTGTATTTTAATCGTGGCCATTTGTAATATTAATAAAAGCACAAAAAATATCGAAAAAGACAAGAACGCTGCACAAATACACGCATGAAATGGTATAAATCGAATTTTCCTGTCATTTCCAAGGAAATAACGAATAAAATAATGAATTATTACAATTTTTTCTGCTTTATTAATATTTCATCAAATACTAAAGCACACGGTTGAGCTTTTATAATTATTTTACAAAAGCTTCGAAACCGTACTACATTATACTTTATGTTCACGAAAGGATCAATTTGATCGAGAGGAGATTATTGAATCAATGTTATTTTGATATTAATTTGACCTATGGCCTTTCGCTCACATACTCACAGTAGATTACGGGGGATAATGGCAAAGATTTTCTAATTATTATATAAGTAGTTTTATATAAAAACCGCGAAATTAATTAGCCAATACAGTACGTATCGAATGTGAGCTTGAACGGAGATTGTATTTCACGGATATAGAAATGCAATAAAAAGCGGCGCTCTGCCAGCGTGCGAAGCAAGAAGAAACGAGGTCAACTATATCTGCGACAAATCGGCCTTCATCGAGAAATTATACGCGGTAACTGAAACGGGCGGCTACACCGAGCTCTTAACGAGTAATATTTCTGAAAGAAATTACTATTTCCCGATTCCCTTTCTGACCCTTCCTATTTGCTATCCAAAGCGCAAATACATACTCTTCACTTCGTTTTACATTTGTAACCAATTGGCCTCTCGATTTATTCAAACCCATACAGCACAGAAACATTTCAGAAAGATCTCCTAAATGTTTCAACTGAAAAATGAAACATTTCAGAAATGTTGCGAAATATTTCTGCAAGATCTCTGAAAGATCTCTGAAAGGTCAAAATGTCCGCGATTCTTCCACATGAAATCTTCCAGAAATATGTCTGAAAGGTCTGAAATATATCTGCAACCTTTCTGCAATATATGCGAAATGGTTTCAAATGTATTTCTATTTCGCTCAGGTGATTCTTATTTACGAGTAAATGCTCTTCGCCGAAGCCCTCTGTCGGTGGAGATGTGTAATTTGTTGCATGTGAAAGATTTCAGAAATAACTTAACTGGAAGGTTTGCAAAACGATTTCATATGAAATGTTATAGAGATAACTCAACTGAAAGTTTCGTAAAATTATGTTCATATGAACAATTTCAGAAATATTACTGTTGCAACATTTCATGTGACATATTACAAAATTCTTTCAGAATTGTTACACATGAAATGTGAAAGGTCGAAATGATTTTGAAACTTTACTGAAAGTTCTCTGCAACTATCGATGCTGTATGGGAAGTAACACTTTTACAAAAATTGTCTACTTTTTTTGCATTTATTTAAATGCAGTAAAAAACGTGTAAAGATATAACACAACCAGAAGAACCTTTAAATGTGATCAGAATTATGTAAAGCCATGGGAAAAATATAAAATTCAAGAAGAGGAAATATAAGATTCAAGAATTAACATAAAATATTAACTGTAAAAGTAAGACACGCGCAGAGTATGAAATATGAAATAGGTGGAAATATTGCAAGAATTTTAATATAAGAAGATAAAAGGGATGTCGAGTGAAATATACTTCAATACAGCAGTTCATGCAAATTAAGGATCTGTCCACTAAAAAAATGTGCGATGTCAGTTTTATTTCGTGATTCATTACTGATGAGAAATCCAAGATTATTATGCATAAATATCTCGGCCAAATTTGTGTTAACGGTCGGTGAAGGTTTACGGAATTCGATTTATGATCATGAATGAATTAATGCCGAACGCAAGAACATTATACCAAAACACTTTTCAGTACGTCGTTCGCCTGGATTGTGGATCAATAGCCACAGTGAATACATCCGCGGCGTTAGTCAAACGTATAACAAAACGATGCGCGATCCATTTCAATTCCGACATACACACGGAAATGAGACACGGTTCGGCGCAGACGAGTCAATTATCGGCGATGCAATCCTTGACGGTGCTTCTAATAACAATTTTGGCTTCGGCATATTTTCAATAAATTAATATACACGTTATTATCGCACAGCGTATGATATATCTGAGCCTCGGTATGTAATGTCAGAAAAAAAGTGGCGAAAAATAAGTACAGAAATATTTCATATAACCAAGTTTATATACCTACAACTATCAGCAAAAAGGTTTGCAATTACATACAAAAGATCTGTTTATTATTTCTGTACTAGAACTTTCTTTCTCGCTTTCATCAAAAATATCAAACACACATCTATTTTACTTTAAATTCTAAAAGTGTGTACTAATTTAGCT